AGTCGTATGCAAAGGGAATGGTATACAAAGATTCTGATGAAAGACATCGATATAGTGAACGGCGCCGGAAAGATGGATAAAATGCGTTTACTTAACATTTTAATGCAACTGCGAAAGTGTGCGAACCATCCGTATCTGTTTGACGGCGCAGAGCCCGGCCCTCCCTATACCACAGACAAGCATTTGGCGGACAACAGCGGAAAGATGGCTATTCTCGACAAACTGTTGCCCCGTTTCGAGGAGGAGGGCAGTCGTGTCCTTATATTCAGCCAAATGACTCGAATGCTTGACATTCTCGAGGATTACTCCCTGTGGAGAGGATATAGATATTGCCGATTAGATGGACAGACATCTCACGAGGAGAGAGAGCGACAGATCGATGAGTTTAATAAACCCGATTCCGATCGCTTCCTATTTATGTTGAGCACAAGAGCTGGAGGTCTGGGAATCAATTTAGCGACGGCTGATGTGGTTATTCTGTATGACTCCGATTGGAACCCTCAGGTGGACCTCCAGGCGATGGACAGGGCTCACAGAATCGGCCAAAAGAAAGTCGTTCGAGTGTTTCGTTTAATTACAGACAATACGGTTGAAGAGAGAATCGTTGAGAGGGCTGAGGTTAAGCTGCGATTAGACACTGTTGTCATACAACAGGGAAGGCTTGTTGACAGCGCCGGTAATAAACTTGGAAAGGATGAGATGTTGGGAATGATAAGACACGGCGCCGACCATATATTCGCGTCCAAAGACAGCGAGATTACCGATGAAGACATCGACGTTATTCTTGAAAAGGGAGAGAAAAAGACGGAACAAATAAAGCAGAAGTTGGAAGCGATGGGCGAAAGTAGTCTTCGGAACTTCACTATAGACGCGGGCGAGTCGTCTGTCTATAAGTTCGAGGGCGAGGACTACCGCGAGAAACAAAAGTTGTCTCAACTCGCGTGGATTGAACCGCCCAAACGTGAGCGCAAAGCCAACTATGCGGTCGACGCCTACTTTCGCGAAGCACTCCGTGTCAGTGAACCGCGAGCACCGAAAGCTCCCCGGCCTCCCAAACAGCCTCAGGTCCAAGACTTCCAATTCTTTCCGCCCAGACTTTTCGAACTTCTGGACAAAGAGATCTATTATTTCCGGAAAACTGTTGGCTATAAAGTGCCCAAAAATCCCGAATTAGGGAACGAGGCGTCGAAAGTGCAGAGAGAGGAACAACGGCTCATCGATGAGAGCGAACCCCTCAATGATGACGAGATCTCTGAGAAAGAGTCTCTCCTTCAGGACGGGTTCACCACTTGGACCAGACGTGACTTCAATCAGTTTATTAAAGCCAATGAGAAGTACGGAAGGGATGACACGGACTCCATTTCCAAAGAGGTTGAGGGCAAGACTGTCGATGAAGTGACTGAATACTCGAATGTGTTTTGGGAGAGATGTCACGAACTCACGGATTGCGACCGAATTATGGCTCAAATCGAGAAGGGAGAGCAACGCATCCAAAGGCGTCAGGATATCAAAAGAGCGCTCGACTCGAAGATGTCTCGATATAGAGCTCCGTTCCATCAGTTGAGGATAGCGTACGGCACTAACAAAGGCAAGAATTACACCGAAGAGGAGGACCGCTTCCTCGTGTGTATGCTTCACAAGTTAGGCTTCGATAGGGAACTGGTTTACGATGAGCTCAAGTCTGCCATCAGAAGTGCCCCTCAGTTTCGGTTTGATTGGTTCATCAAAAGCCGGACCGCATCGGAACTGCAGCGCAGATGTAATACTTTGATCACTTTGATTGAGAGGGAGAACCAGGAGTTAGAGGAGAAGGAGCGTCAGACCAAGAAAAAGCCCGGACCTAAGCCCGGCCTTCCCAGAGGGCCCAACAAGAGGGCCGCCCCTCCCGTCGAGACATCCAAACGCAAGAAAAGACGTTAAAAGCAGTTCTCAATAGATTTGGTTCACTCTTCGCATACCTTTCCAAAAGTTACGGATTCTGTTAAATGACTTTCATTTCAATATGTATTAAAACTTTTTTCAAGTATTTATTAGAAGTATTTCATTCGCTTTTCATTCAATTTATTCCGCAATTATTGAATCGATTTTTCTTTTTTGATATAAAATCACAATTTTGTCAAATGTTTAATAACTTATTAATCGATTAGTTCTAATAAATTGGACCTCAATTCACACCCATTTGTAGTTTATTTTAATTTTTAACACAATTTTCATTAAAAAG